TCCAACACCCCCTCTGAACTGTGCGCTCTGTGGAGGCAGGGGCCATGCCACTCCCATCACACTCCCTTCTGTCTCCAGCATCAGGCATGGTGTTTGGCACACAATGGTGTTGGTACTGCAAGTTGCTGCTGCCTCCTGGCAGGGCTCCAGCTGTTCACACTCCACGCCAGTGCCCCTACTCTGCACGAGTTGAGAGAAGAGGGACTTAGGACCCTGTGGGAGAAAATCTAAGCTGCTCAGTTCAAGTTTTGGGCGCAGCAAGTGTGAGTGGGTAGCCAAAAGTGGGTCATCCAAATTCCCATTTACTTGTACATTACAGTAGCCAGCCACAGTTGGTGCCCAAAGCTTGCAGCTCTCAAACTCCAAGCCTCTCCAGTGAGGCATTGTGATAACCATGGACGAGGTACCTTCTCATTTGCCCCCATAACCAGCCCTTGGGAAAGCATGCCCTTCTCCATGCCCGCATTCATTATGCAGAAGCTCTTCTTTATCACCACATTCGTGAAGGGAATGGTCTTTCCATTGTGATGCTGGGACCCACCTGTGCAAAGATCTTTGAACTTTGACTTTCTTAGACTGCCAGTCAAGGCAGGTGTCTTAGGTCAGATTTCCCCAAAAAGGGCCATGAGATGCAATCCATGTGCAGGTGATGGAAGTCCCCTCCCCCCCCACCCCCGGCTCCACAGGAGACCCCGGAAGCCAGAAGCGTGCAGGGATGTGGAGTCAGGCAGAACCCACAGAGGGCAGCTTCAGCCCCTCCCACAGATTCCTCTGGAGCCTGTGATGTCTGAGAGTTGTTTTGACCTGAAGCAAAGGACCTGAGTGAGGGTTCATTCTCTTGTTCCATGTAGGCTTTGACTAAGTGGATCACGGGTCCTAAACTCCCAGGCACTTCTGCCTCTGCCTGTGTGGGGGAAATGTGGGCTCAATGGCCCAAAACTTAAGACCCAGAAAAACACAAAAGTTGGCAGGTGGTGGCTTTCAGAAGCCAATGTGGAGGGGCCTCACAGAGGTGGGATGAAAGATCTGTGAGATGTAGGCGGTGCATCAACATTGTCTGCTACCGCGGGTCAAGCCAGGGTCTGTTTCTGGGACCCAGTGGACCCGAAGCAGAGGCTGAAGTTTCTGGCTTGCACCTATGCGTGCTTTATCAGTGGAGGCCAGCTCTTAGAAGCACGTTTCACATCTTCATGAAGGCTTCCCACTGAACACAAAGGCAGTCAGTAAATGTTTAGTGAGTGGAAGTGCCGTATTTCAGGAGCTGGGAGCTGAGATAAGGCCCTTGTACTTAGTCACGAGCAGTCACTGGAGACCAGTTTAGTAAGCTGTGTGAATGGAGTGGAAGCCACACTGCAAGAAATGACAGTGTGGGGTTGTCTGTGTTCTCTAAAGGAGTTTGTTGGTTGAAGGGGGTGGTGGAAGAAGTGAAGCCTTGAGCAGACTTGCAGGAGGAATGGAAAGAGCCAGAAGAAGGAGAGGTGGCAGATTCAAGGCCCAGAGAGGACACATGGTAAGAGGAGGAGTTCTTAGAGAGGGTGGGAGGAGGTGGGATGAGAACAGGTGGTTGATCAGCCTTGGCCAGAAGAAGGGTCACCCCTTCCTCCCAGAGAGGAGGGGGAGGGGTGAGGGGCATGTTGAAGGGTCTGAGGATGGTGAAATTTGAAAGTGAAAAGGCAAGTCAAAGAGACACATTTTTTCAGCCAAGTGGGAGAAAGGTCATTTGTTGGGGTGATGGGGTTATGGAGTTGGGAGTGTGAAAGCATTGGCACAATTACTTTGGGGACCTTGACTGAGTCACCAAGAGATGGCCATCTAGCCCAGATGACTGAGGTTAGATGGTGGACCTTGTTGGTGGGGCTGGGTACCTGACTGGGGACTCCCATGGTGAAGAAGGTGGCATGTTGGGGGAAAAATGCAAGATAGTTGGCATGAGCGTATTTGGGGAGTGTTAGGAGGTCCTTCTCTGAAGTCGCATGGCCACTTTTGTTTCGTCCCTACTATGTGCCAGGCTCTGTGGTAGATGTTCAACTGCTCCACAGGGCAGGTGCTACCTGACTCACCCAAGATCTAGAGACTAGTGCGTGCAGAGCTGGCACTCTATGCCTGCTCCATCTGATTGCAAAACCAGCCTCACTGAGGCCCATGTAGGGTGCTGGGTGTGAAATACTTTGGTGCTGCAGAATGCCACACGGACGGGAAAGACGCCTTTCCAAACTTCCTCCTCAGCCCCTGTGGGGACTGAGCTGTTGTGTCATGCTTTGGTCTTCCCTCTTCCAGGAGAATGTGTCAGACCCTGGTGGGTGGGAACAAACCAGTGTGGTGCTCTGGAACAGGGCTCAGTGGGGAGGTAGAAAGCCCAGGCGGGTATCTGCAGGGTGCCGGGTTATGGGTTTGTATCCCTAGTGTGAGGGAGCAGCATTTGTCCCTGGTCATAAGTTTGTACTGTGTGTGTGTGTGTGTGTGAGGTGGGGGGCATCTCTCTGTGCTTTTGAGTGTGCATGTGTGTGTTTCTGAATCTTACTCTATCTTAGCACCTGCAATGCACAGAAACACAGAAATGGTTGGGTGGGATGCAGATTCAGCGTAGAGAAAGAACAAATTGTGGAACGAAGGGAAGCACAGAGACAGGGACACGTGTGTTCAGAAACACCCAGGTGATACACACACTCAAATGCACAGCATCAGTTTCTCTGTGTGCTTTTGTGAATGGACTGCCATATACTTTTTTTTAAAATGTTTTATTTAGTTTTGAGGGAGAGATACAGTGTGAGCAGGGGAGGGTCAGAGAGAGAGGGAGACACAGAATCCGAAGACAGGCTCCAGGCTCTGAGCTAGCTGTCAGCACAGAGCCCAACATGGGGCTCGAACCCACTAACTGTGAGATCATGCCCTGAGCTGAAGTCAGACACTTAACCGACAGCCACCCAGTCGCCCCTGCCATATACTTCGTATGGATGAACATCTGTATGACTGGCACCTACCCATTTAGCCTCAGAAACACAGAATGGTAGGTATATGGAGACTCATGGAAACACACAAATACAAACACTCAAACATTAACACACTCTGTTTTTGCATGTGTATTCCTGTGTATGTGTTACTGTGTGTTGTTTGAGTGTGTGGACATCTGTGCACCTGAATAATGCAGATACATGCGGGAGACAAACATGGGCACACACTCTGAGAAACACACAGTGTCTGTATCAGTGTGTGTGTGTGTGTCTTTTACAGTCAGGGAGGAAAGGAGGCCGGAGACCGGGAGGAGGCCAGCAGGAGACGTCCTGGCCTTGCTCTGTCTCCTGGCATGTAGACCCGAGTCCCCCTACCTCTTGCCAAACAGAATAATGGGTTTGGGTGGCACTCCTTCACCCCAGTGGGTTGGTCAGCAAGCGCCGAGGAAGCCCCTGAGGTGTGCGAACTCATCCCGGCTTTGTAGAAAAATGAGGAAGACCCCCCGCAAGACCTGTCCCCACCTCCAGCAAACCCACAGTCCCTCCAGGGAAGCAGGAGATGCAAAGCTTGCCCTGATCACCAGGCTGTGGAGCACAGAGCAGAGAGACCCTCCTGGGGTCAGTTCCTGGCAGCTGTTGTTCCCCATCCCCCCAGCCACCTTTCTAAGGCACGACGAGTGCAGAGAAGTGGCTTAACCTCTGTCTAGTGTCCTTGATGCTAATGGGAGAAAGCAGACTCGTCTCCTCATGGTGGTTGAGGATGAAGACCACTCTCAAGGCAGACATTTGTTCATCCAGCAGTTATTAATAGAGCACCTACTGTGGCTGGATCCTCTTCTCAACCCCGGGGCTTTGACAGTCAACAGAGCGAAGTACCATGTCCTGATGGAGTTCACCCTCTATGGGGAGGAGGCTGGTCAATAAGCCAAGAGCATCTCTGGGGTGGTGTTAGAAAGAAGCCAAAGCAGGATGATAGGACAGAGAGGGGCAGGGGGTGTGAGGGGACAGGGAATAGTCAGGGAAGGTCTTGGATAAGATGATTGACTGCAGAGTGGAAGCAAAGGAGTGAGCTACTGGCAGAGGAGAGAATGTTTGAGGGGAGGGGAATAGCAAGGGTAGGGGGCTATTGGTCATAATAAGCCTGTTCTCCCATTTTACAGTTGAGGAAATTGATGCACAGAGCGGGTGAGTTGCTTGCCCAAAGTCTCACAGCCAATGAGAAAGAGATCCAGATTTGAAACTGGGCAGTCTGGTTTCAGAGCCAGTGGTCTAAATTAGCGTCCTCAATCAGGGGTGACTTGCCCCACGCGCAGGGGATATTTGGCAATGTCTGGAGATGTTTTTGATCGCCACAACTGGACTGGAGGGTGCTATTAGCATCTAGTAGGTAGAGGCCAGGGATACTGATAGACCTCGTACAATGCACAGGAAGCCCCTGACAACACAGCTGTATGGCTTCTAAGTTGCCAGTCGTGCTGAGGTGGGGAAAACCTCATCCAAGTCCATGCAAAGCTCTCAACAGAGTATGACATGTAGTAGATGCTCAATAAATAGGAGCTGAAGGAGCACCTGGGTGGTTAAGTGTATGACTCTTGGTTACAGCTCAGGTCATGACTTAATGATTCATGAGATCGAGCCCTGTGTCAGGCTCCACACTAACAGCTTGGAGCCTGCTTGCGATTCTCTCCGCCCCACCACCAAAATAAACAGACTCTAAAAAAAATAGTAGCTGAGGGGGAAGAGGAGAAATGATTTGTAGAAAGTTGCAGGGGAGAAATGAATTCAAGGAGAGAAAAAGTACCTGTAAATGAATCCATTGGTTAACAGGGCTCATGTGACACTACTTGTTGGGTGGGCATGAGGGACACGGCTGCCCCAGGAAGGGGGGTTATAGGTGGGTCAGGTGGTGTGAGGGATTTGATGGACTGGGGGGGGCGCCGACACTGGACAGCCACCAGCCACTGTAACACTAACCAGACGACTTGCCTCTCTGTCCCCTTCCCGTCCTGTGTCTCTTTGCCCATCTCCCTTGGTGTCTCTGCCCGGAAGGGGACAGCCGGAGGCTGAAGGGGGCCATCCAGAGGAGCACGGAGACAGGCCTGGCCGTGGAGATGCCCAGCCGGACGCTGCGTCAGGCCAGCCACGAGTCCATCGAGGACAGCATGAACAGCTATGGCTCAGAGGGCAAGTGAGTGTGGGGCCCGCCTGCCGCCAGCCCTCCTGGTTCTCGAGGCCTCTGGGGCGTGGGGCGGCCAGGGCTGAGCAGCCCTGTCCAGGAGCCCTGGCTCGGCCTCAGGCTGGTTGGGGCACTGGCTCAGCTCTCCTGGTGGTCCAGAAGGGAGGCAATAAACAGGGAAGCCACGATGGTGGAGCGGAGCGGAGCAGACTCTGGGGCCCAGCTGCCCACTGGCTGCGTGATCCTGGGCAAGTCCCCTCTCTGCGCCTCAGTTTCCTCATCTGTAAAATGGGGTGCCAGTACCAGCCTCAGAGGGGTGTTGTGAGGATTCAGCGGGTTAATATTTACAGAGCACTCAGGACAGTATCGACACATGAGTGCCGTGTGCCAGTGCTGGGAAATAAGGAGGTCGAGAGGGTTTTATGATGAGTGCTACTGTATCCTCTTTACTTTCTTAGTTTCTTAAATCACAATTGGTTTTTAAAAATACGTATTTACTGCTTGTTAAGGAGTTTCACATACATCGAGTCATAACACTAATGACTCAGTTAGGGTATGATTGTTTCCTCTGGCACCTCTCTGCCCTGACTGTGCATCAGAATCACTGGGCACTTGCCCCCCACCCAGGTTGCAGGGGCCTGTGCCCTGAATCAGAGTCTCTGGGAGTGGAGCTCAGGAACTCCATTTTCTAAAGGCTCTCTGGGGGAGGACTCATCTTTCCCCAGGAAGTTCTCCTCTCTGCACAATTATGGACCTCTTGGAGAATTTTGGGAAAGCTTTGGGCCTGCTTTCCCCTGAGAAATACATGCACATGCTTCCTACCACACACACACAGACACACACACACACACACACACAGGGTCATATATCCTCTTTTCATACCTGTGTGTGGGGGGGGGTCCCAGATTCCCCTAGCCCATCTGTGGATCCCTAGCAAAGAAACTTTGTTCCAAAGTGATGACCTGGGTACCCAGAGAGGTTCAGGAACCTATCCTGAGTCACACAGCACATTAACAGGTGTGGAACTCAGGAGTCTTGACCCCCAAGAGGGACTCATTCCGTGGTAACACGTCACGCTCTCATCTTAGCCATCCTCAGTCAGGGGTTTGGGGAGGGTAAAGCTGTGCCGACCAGTACAGGCGACTCTGGGCATGTAGCTATTTAAATGTAAATTAATTAAAATTGAATAAAGTGAAATAATCTCTTTTTCCACCACACTGGCCATGTTTCAGGTGCATAGCAACACGTGTCCAGAGGCAACCATTTGGGACAATGCAGATATAGCATCTCTCTCTCCTCCAGGACCGTTCCACTGGACAGCACAGGCTAAGTGGCTTGTCTGAGGGCAGATACCCAGCCAGGCCACTGCGGGGTGGGGTCGGGGCTGGGCCACCACCTTCTGCTCCTCTCTCGTTTCTGACACTACGTCCCAGCTGGGGGTTCCTGCTTGCTGGAGACCTTCCCACCCCCAGCCCCTCCTAAACTGGGCATCTCCGGCCTCTGTGAATGGCCTTGCCTTGGCAGATGCTGCCGTTCCACCCACCTCCTAGGGAGGCTTTCCGGAGGGCGAGGAGAGGAGGAGGACAGGCGGAAGGGAGGGGAAGAGGAGGAGGAGGAAGGGAACACATGTTTTCTTTAACCTGAGAAACTTGGCAAGGCAGCAGAACTTGGAGGAAGATATTCCAGGCATCTGGGTAGTAGTGGGTCTCTGCTGAGTTGCAGGGGGTCAGGAGGTTTGGGTCCTAGTCCCTGGCTCTGCCACTGACCCCGAGGTGGCCTCGGGCACATCTCTCAGCTTCTTAAGCTTCAAGAAGCTGGTAAACATCTTACCTGCTGGGCTCAGGGGGAGGGCAGTGTGGTGCACTGAGCAACAGCAGAGAGTCAGATCCATATTCCCATTGTAGAGAAGGCTCAGAGAAGCCACGAGACTTGTCCAAACAGAGCAGCATAGGAGGGTGTTGTGAAGGAGAAAAGAGATGATGCCTGCACATGACAGGTACTTGGGAGGTAGCTGCTATTGTCATTTGCTGTAATGTGCTTTCGGGGACCAGAGAGTCGGATTAGGTTACAGAGAGATTCCAAACCAGGACTCTGGAGTCAAACTATCTTGGTTTGTGCCTCATTTCTCCTCCTTCCTTTGTTCTTTTTAAATATTTATTTATTTTGGGGAGAGTACAAGCGGGGAAGGGGCAGCGAGAGGGGGACAGAGGATCTGAGCAGCCTCTGCGCTGACAGGCTGACAGCAGTAAGCCTGATGTAGGGCTCGAACTCACGAACCGCAAGACCATGGCCTGAGCTAAAGTCAGACGCTCAACCAACTGAGCCACCCAGGTGCCCCTCTCATTTCTGCTTCTTCATAGCTGTGTGGCTTTGGGAAAGTCACTTTACCGCTTTGAGCCCAGTTTCTTCATCTATGAAATGGGGACAATGATAATACAGACCACTAATAGAATTGTGGTTTGGATTAAATGAATTCATACATGTACAAGGGCTTAGAACAGTGACTGGTACGTAGCTCGCACTATGATTCTATTATTATTGTCTACGATTACTGTTGTTTGTTGTTGATTCAGCCCCTGTGAGTTGGGTATTTTGCTCCTTGTGACTAGTCGCCTCCTAACGAGTACAGGGAGCCACCCGCGATGCCATCATGTCTGTAAAGTACTTAGCACAGAGCAAGCGTGGGGTTGATGTTGGCCGCGATGATTTTGATTATCAGAAAGTCTCAGGTGGATATCTTGAACCCAGTCGAGGAAGGACCCGGTGGGTTGGAGGGTGCTGGTTCCAGCAGAGGGGAGAGGCTTGCCCTCCAGAGAGGGTCTGAGTCTGGATGGAGCCCCGCCAGGTTCTACCGCTCCACCTGACACCTGGGCCAGGAAGGCACACAGAAAGGACCGGTGGGGACATGGAGCTGCGGTCGGCCTCCTCCTTGTTCTGGAGGTATTTTGGGCACTGGTGGGACCCAGATGCCAGGCTCTGAAATAGGAGGGGTGTGACCGTCCTCCCCTTGGGCTCCTGCCAGCCCAGCTGAGGCTCACGAGGAGCCAGCGTGCTTGAACGGCGCCCGCCAGCCTGCGGCCCCTGGCGCTGCTGACTCTGTCTGCCATGCACTGCATCACTGGACACGTGCATTTCTGCAGGTGGCCACAGGGGGTTTTATTTCAGCAGCGATGATCGAGTGGCTGCAGTGTGCTAGACACTTCGTGCCGGGCACCTGGACGCCCTGCCCTGCCCGGACCCAGCACCTCACAGTGAAATGAGAGCTGCAAAGGGTGCACATGGAGAACTTTGAACGCACCGCCTCCTAGCCAGGTCTCTGGGCTGCGGAAGGGGTGTCTACGGGCGGGCCCGTTCTGTCAGCGAAGATCCTTGGGCTCCAGGTTGAACAATAGTAGCTGACAGTGACGTCAGACCTCGCTGTTCAAAGTGTGGCCCGCAGACCAGCAGCGCCCGCGTCCCCTGGGAGCATGTTAGAAATGCAGCTTCTCAGGCTCCACCCCAGACCCACTGAGTCACAATCGGAAGTTTTACGAGATCTCCAGCTGGGTCATGTGCACGTGAAGCTTAAGAAGCCCTGGCTTAGTGGTAATTGTGTTCTAGAGCTAACCCTTTACAGAGCACCTGCTCTGGGCAGGCACCGGGTAAAGTGCTTTTACATATGACGGCTCATTTAATCCCCACGACAACCTGATGATGCTGAGACTGTTCATGTCCCCATTTTATGGACAAGGAAAAAGAAGCCAAAAGAGGTTAATTAACCTACTCAAGGTCACTCAGCCAGTAAGTGGTTTTAAATGCCAGGCTTCAAATCTAGGCCTTGGGGTCTGCCCTTAATCTTTACACTTGACTCTTTCCCTTACTTAATGGTTGCATCCGTCAAGATTTCTGGAGGTGGACGCTTCCAGGGTGGTTTGAGGGCTCAATGAGTCCCTTCATCTTTTGCCTTCCTAGGCCTCAGCATATTGGACCAATCCTGGTATATCTCAGAGGCTGGGGAAGGGCTTTCCTTCCCTGAGCCCCCTTCTGCCTGATTGAAAATTGGAGTGCTCTGTGTTAAGGGTGAAAGGGAACAGCTGTAGGTTTGGCAAAGCCAAGCTTCCCACCTACCCCTCCAGCAGGCTCATCTCTCCCAGATAAAGGGCAGGGGGGTTCAAGCCCCCTGAGAAAGGGCATGAGAATAGTGCCTCCCCAGACCCCCCCTGAATCCTGAGATACTCCCCAGTGATGGTCTGCTTTAGTTTGGGTTCCCCGGAATCAGACCTGAGGTATGGATCTGAGTCCAAATAGTTCACTTGGGAGATGGTTCCTGAAAACCATGGCAGAGGAGCACGTGAGAGAGAAGCAGAGCAGGCATGCAGGAACGAACATGTGCTTTTAGAAGCGAGCTACCACCATGGGTAACCAGAGCTTGATCCGGACAGGGACTCTGGCTGCCAGGGGGCCCATGCACCCCAAAGCTAGCCCTGTGGGGAGCAGGTGAGGGGAGCTAAAGTATTCATACCTGACTCTCGTCACTTACTGGTTGGTGGCTGCTTTCAGTTAATTCTCCTACCCTCCCTGCAACAGAGTGAGCACTTGGGGCCAGAGGAACACGGGTCCTGGCCATTAGAGGTCGGCGAGCACTGATGTGGTGAGGGTTGGGACGTGTGGGAGACCGGACGAACGGAGCCTGCTGTCTGAGTGCACAGCACTACCGCCTCAGGCTTCTCCCAGGCAGCTTCCCCTCTCGCGTTCCATATCCAACCCATCGCTGGGCTCTTCCATTTTATTCCTAACTATCTTTGACTCATCCATTTCTCTCCCTCCCACCCCGCTGGCAAGGCCACTCATCGCTCCTGTGGGGATGCATGCAAGCCTCCCTCTTGGTCTAAACTCCGTAGTCTGTCACTCAGCACTTACTTCCGCTGATCTCTGTCAGCCTCTCCCAGGCCTCAACCACGTGCCCCCTGCCCCAGCACCCTGACCCTCTTATGCCTCCCTCTGTCTCCTCTCGAGGTCTCTGCTTCCTCTAC